TCAGCATTCTCCTGAGTACGGCTTGTACGATGGTTGTTTCGCCATGTAGGTTACTGCACTTCGCCTGCTGTGCACGGAGTTGCTCAGCGGTCTTGCTGCTTAATTATGGTGGTGGCTGCTTTCTTGCATGCCTTTCCTGTTAGGTATCGGGGTTGTTTCCTCTGGCAAATCCATGCTGCAGGTACCATTCTGAATGCGACATGGTGACTTCCTCTGGTTGTCGACTACTTCTTGTATGGTTTCTTCTTAGGGGTGGGTGAAAACCCGTGCTAGGTTGCGCACACCCTCAACAACATAATCATCATCATCATCGGCGGACCTTGAATTTATGCCATTTTACTTCTGGACTTGCATGTGGTGCTCGTTCTTCACTATCCTGGTGGCTGTCACTGACCTGTGCGCCTTGATGAAGCACGTGACCATGTTCAGCGAGGACGTGTCGGGTGTATGAGTAGTCTCGGACATGAGGGTGTCAACATTACATATACTTAAAGGGGACTATATTGTAGGTCATTATATTTATACATATATATAGGGTTTAGGGTTTAGGGTTCAGGGTTTGGTAAAGTGTGGCAGCTGCGAGGATATCTTTGCTGGCTTGATCTCCCTTATCTTCATCATCGATGGAGTGAGGCGGGCTCATATGAACCACTGTCAGCCTGTCAGCATTAGCCTTACTAGAGGACCATGGACAGTGGACATAGGGGTCCTTCTCGTAGTTTAGTATAGTCCCTAATACATTCCTTAATCAGGAGCCCATGTCCTGGAAGTGTATGGGGGAAACTTTTACCTTAGCTCATAAGCCCTAAGCCCCTGACTTAAAAGGGCTCCTGAGGTTTCCCAACTTGTGGGGGTCCCTATCACAAGGAATAATAGTAGTTTGGGGAGTATATGGGGGTCCCCCTATTTTGGGAAACTACATCCTTGCGAAACAGTACCTACTTAGCCTGGATTAGCTAGGCGGCACATGGCTATAAATTCGCGAAGTGTTAGATTCAAGTCTTTTAGGTTTGATAACATCTGCGTTTCGTCATGAGACAAGAGCAGACTGAGATTTGGATAAAAGGCTTTTCAGCTTTTGTTAAAACAAACAAAAAAACATCATGTGCTTTTTGGTGCCTCGGCCGCGTCGATTTTCTTCGTCAGCTTTAGCATCAGACGCAAACCGCAAACCCTGTTTACAAATGCTCTTGAAACTGCTTTTGCGGGGGGCCGGGGTTCTAAGTTCACAAGCAATTCCAACATGCACGCATGCGCACCATGGCACATCTTACAGCCTTACGGCAGGCCCATCATCGAGGACTTCACGGAGAACAAGATGACGCTGACCAGTGCTATGTTCGAGGCCTCGTCGCAACCCGTATCACCCTTTTGTGTAGAGGCCCACAGTCTTCGTGCTCAGGGAAGTTAGGCTTTTGGACCTTCTTGATTGTTTCGTTGTCTATGCTCTTGCTGTGCTGCCTCACCATGCGATTTATCATCACCGGTTTCAGCACTCAATCGCTCGCGCTTGAGGCCCTCCTGTTCATCTACACATTCGGCCTAGCGACTTACCTTTCCCACTTCCGTCGAACGCCATGGATGCTCCGGCCGATCCGAAACCTCATGGCCAACTTTGCTGTGACCATTTCCTTGGTGACGGCTTCTGCGCTGGCAGCCATCTACTCAAGCGACACAAACTTGAGGATGCTGAGCGTTGATGCTGACTTCTCCCCGAACCGGGTCTTGTCAGATGGAAGCAAGCGGCCTTGGATTGTGAATCCAGCAGGCATCGATCGCCCGTTCCCCGCTTGGGGCATCGGGTACGCAGTGCTGCCTGCGATCGGTGAATGGGCTCAAGCTTAACATGGGATTATCGTTTTTCAGGATTTGACAATATACGCATGTTGAAGTGATAGAGGGAGCGCAATTGTCGAGGCTTTGCCGTGCTGGGCTACCTGGACCAGAACCTGACCTCCGTGATTGTGAACCGGCCCTCGAACAATCTTGCCAAGCCGCCAGGTGCTGACCAACACATGGGAGGTCTTTGACATGGAAGGGCATTTACTGGGCTTGTGGCGGTAGGTCAGAAATTTAAAGGTATAACCTTGGCACTACAGTACTACAGACGTGCAAAATGGGGATGAGGGAGCACGGTATGAAATTTTAGATGAACCACGACTTTGCAAGTCTGAAATCCCGCAGAACTTGTGGACTTTGTTTGCTTCCGTTGAGCCGTCTAGGGAACACCTTTTCGGTGTTGCACCGTGCGACTCGTCTAAAAATTCGTCGCCAGGGTACCATTTGGGGCGCATGAGTGGACCTCCCACCGGTGCGCCTGGGCCGCTGCTTCCCGGCTGCGGTGCAAACTCCTCCTGTTCCTGCTCTTCTTGGTCTTCGGCTGCTGTGGGACCGCAACCGAAGGTCATGCCGACTACGCCTTCGCCTTCTTGCGTTGGATCCACGATTGGTGGGACGGCCTCTTTAAGGAGCGCTACGACCTGAACGCCTGGGTTTGGGACCCTGGGCTCGGCTACTTCTTCAAGCTCTTCGTGGACTACTTCCTGCTCTACCCCTTCGTGATCGGCGTGGCTACCTGCTGCCTTCTCCTGTGCTGCGAGCGGGAGGTTGGGACAGCAAGCAACTTGGACAAGTCTCCGTGGCGGCAGGCCCCTTGTAGGGTGTGCAAGCTTGGCCTGCGCTGGAGGCGGTTGAGGAGAGGAATCTCGCCTTGGGGGGCCACCTCGGCCCAAGAGAAGGCGACCTTTGTTGACCCAGTTCCGCGGGCTGCTTCGTGACTTCTTCGCCTTCGAGGCTGTTAAGGTCAAGGGCAGGCGCTTCCGATGGTCTCGACCATGGAGGCGCAGACTTCGTTCCAAAGGCTGGCAGGCATTGTGGTTCTTGCTTCGCCAGCGTG